AAAAAAATCCTAAAATTGCTTTGGTCATTTCATACTATGCAATTTTTGCTTTTTTGTGATAAAGAGTATCGCATCATATATTATGTAACATACTATAAACTCTAATAGTTTCTATTTTGCTAACCACTAGCCATTTATCCGTTTAAAATATATACAGTACTAATTAATAGAATACAAGTTAAAAATAATTGATTCATAGGTATCAATGATTCAAATTGGGAATTCTTCTCCCCTATTATAAGTGAATAAGCTTACACACTTGTTTATATGTCTCTCTCAAATTTTCTAGATAGTTTAGACTTGGCATAGGTTTTAATCTCTCCAACAGCCACTAAACTCCTCAGAGACAAGGGTCTATATCTTATACTTCCTTGTTGCAAGGAAAAAAGGCGGGGCAGAGGGGGAAGGCATTTGGGTCAGCGATTCCAAGAATGGGGGCAGAAGACAGAGCATCTAAAGTGGAAGGCTTAGACTGAAGTGGTTCTGTTAACCGTTTTTAGGCCATGATAATCTGAAGAGGCTAAATAAACCCTGCAATCACTTTCGGGGCGCTCCTGGACCCCAGAACCCCTAACTCAGAATATGACCAGTGGCTGCCGCGAAGATCTTGGTGAAGAGTGAAACTCCAGAGCACAATGATAACATTCATTGTCAGGAAGGGTCACGGAAGTCTACACTCCACCGATCGCCGGACAGCAGCCCGTGCACGGTTTGACCCCCAAATGGCCCCTTTCCTCTGCTGGAGCTGAAAGCCCTCTCTCCCCCGTTTTCTTTCCCTTCGGATCCAGGGAAAACACCAAGGCGTTTTTATCGCGAAGCTAGAAGCAAAGTGGGAGACAGGCGACATTTAACAGCTCTGGTGCTAGTGAGGCCGTGGCTTCCTCCCGGGCGGGGAGACCCCTGGCCCCTACAGAGGCGCCCCCAACCCCACCGCATCTGCTGAGAGAGGGCTCGCGCGCGCGGCAGCTTTGTCTGGTCGAGGCAAGGGGCGGAGGGTAAGGGCACGAAATGAGAGGCGTGTGGTGTCACTCTCCGCAGGGGCTCCCCAAAGATCGCATCAATCCCCGCAGGTCTCCCAGGGCCTGTACTTTAAAAGGGTCGCGAAATCTGCGCGGAGGGAGCCCCAGAAGCGAACCAACCCCCGCCCGGATCTCCCCAAGGCCGGGAACGATGTCTCAGCCTTGAGGGCTCGCGGAACCCCGAGCGGGGAGTGGAGGAAGCGTTACTGGGTATGGTGCACCGGGTTAGGGAGCCTGGCTGCAGGCATTACCGCAGAGAGGGCCGCACTCACCAAACCGCGGGGTTGAGCGGGGTCGTGACAGCCGCTGTCAAGACGTGACCCGGAAGCAGAAATTGTCTCCAGTGGGCCCCTCTGTTTACAGGACCTGAAGGCTACTAGGATGGGCGCTTGCGCACCGAGCAGTGGCTGTGGGCGGGACGCGCCTGCGCAGACTCGTGAAGTTGCTGTCTTACCCAGGTCTAGTTAACGGGTCACTTTCTCGCAGTGCCGTGAGGCTTTGCGCGCAGGCGCAATGTGGCGCTCTCGGCCTCCGCATGGGTGTTCGCGGCGTTGGGTGCCGAGCTCACTGGCCCTGGCTGTGGGGCGGACTCTGTGGGGTCGCGCCTTCGTGGTCCAGGCCTGTAGTGTGACCATCCATGCCCTCCGCTGCCTCCCACTGTCTCCGTCTGAGATCAGGCCTGGGCATCTCATTCCCAGATTATTCCCAAACTTGCAACACTGGTTCAGTATTTTAGGAGACTAAACTGTTACTAAGAAATGTCTTTGGCAAATAAGAGAGACTTCCAGCATTATTCATAATATTGGAACGCATCTATGCTCCTCGGAACCTTGCTAGATAGATATTGCCCACCCTCCCTCGGAAGGAGTTATACCAAAGATAAACAACCATCCAAGAGGTGTAGTAGCCCAAATGTGGAGGACAGGACTGAAAAAGAGGGACATGTTGACAATAACCCTTCCCACCCAGAGAGATGCTGATGCCTCTGTGATGTAATTTCCATACAAAGCATAAACATTTCCAAGCTAGTAGCACACAAAGGTGCATGTGAAGAATGCGGCAGCCCACACAGACTGTAAGGGCTGTGATCTACCTGGCACCTGTTTTCCCTAGAGTGTCCAGCACCCATTCCCCAAAGCTTGCTTCAAGCAACAAAATATAACCAGTTTGAAAGTAAAGCAGGGCTCAGACAACTCATGTACATCAGTGAGAGGGTGGCAAACAAGAAAAGGTCATGCCCTGAGTGAGCCTCCGCTGAGTTCCAAACTGAAAGGATTTTTGCCATGCAGGAACGTGTCCCCCACCTCCCGCCACTCAACTGTGGTGAGATTGTCTAATATTTCAAAAGAAACTGAAATCCAGGTTTTTAAAAAGTGAATTCTCCCAAACTGCAAATGTTGGCAACTTTTTTTTTTATAGAATCATTTTTAAAAGCAGTCAACATTCAGCCTGCAAGCCGCCAATTCCAGACGCTGGACTAAAGGCTGCTTTGCTTATTGACAGCTCTTGTGGAACAGTGGTTTAGGCGCAGCCCTCTGATTGGGAGGGAGTCTGGGGAGTTGATTTGAAACTGTAGCTACATATTAACTACATTGTTTTTAATTCATAGATTTATTTGGGCAAGTTTGACGGAACCTGAATGAGATTATTCGGAAGCTAGAGTTCCTCACCCCCAACCATCAAACTACTTGTAAGGCATTTGATCAAATCAGTGAACTGGAAATGGTTTGATTCTGTGCTCATTGCTTCTAAACCAGAAATCTATATTTGGGTCATAAAGAACATTTAACCTCCAGACATAGGGGCAAGGGATACCTGTGTTGGTGCTGATCCAAAATGGAGGAGCTCATCTGTGCACCTTGGTCCTTCCTGACCACCAGCAGGAAAGATCATAAGAAAAATCAAGCCACCTACATCTCTTGTCCAGATCTAACCTCGTTTCAGTCAGTACCTCTCAAACTCCCATTCCTATGTCTAGAACTGTGTGATTCACATTAATATCCCAGTAGTATATTCTCCCCTGAACTCCCTGGATTCTACTTGGCTGGGGAATTAATAAGGTGAGAGGCAGAGATGTAATAAATTCCATTTCATGATGCCATGGGTCCAGGCCTGCTAAATCTCCCTGTTTCTAGATCAAGGTGATGCTTTGCTTGGCACCATCCATAGCTTTCTAAAAGTGGAGGATAGCTTCACAAAACTGACCTACTGAGGGGATGGTGATTGCTTCACTAGCCTTCATCTTATTAAGTCTAGCTCTAGTTGGTCCACTAGTGGGTGCTCTGTCTTGGAGAATCCACTGCACAAAAGAATGAGATTCCCCACCTGTACACGACAAAAGTGATAGATCAAAGGACCCAGCAAAAGAAAGTACCACAGCTGAAGGGTAGCATCTGTCCCTTCTCTGAGGTTCCATGCCTTGGTAGCTCTTGTTCAATGTCATGTGCCAATCAGGGTGGTAGAAAGAAAAACCATAGTACAGAAGACCTGGGCTTTTGTCCTGGCTCTGAGATTGATAGTTCTTTCATTCCTTTTTTTTTTTTCATCAGTATTCTCATTTGTAAAGTGAGAACACTGGCTGAAGTAGTCTCTAAATATCCTTCTATTTCTATAAATTCTGAATATACCAAATGCCCAAACAAAACTTCCTGCTTCCAAATTTTTACTCCCTAAGTCCAAATAAGAACAGCCTCATGGCTATCATAATACTAATATATTAATGGGACCTGTGAAAGCTTCATTATAAGATGGCCAAGTCTACATAGTTCCATTTTTACTTCTTTTGGCTCCTCATTTCTAAAACAGGGTAAAGACAGCAGTAATTCACAGCTTCAAGTTTTAAATGTTATTTTTATAACAATGTTCAAGCGCACCAAAAAAACTAGTGGAAATAGAATTCAGTCCATCACCTATATTTAACATTTATTAACATTTTGGTAAATATTTGAATCTAATTTTTTTGTTTGTTATTTTGTCCAGCTTTAGGGTTTTGAAATAAACTACTCAATATCCATAGTTCCCATAGCTTTTGGGGAAATTTTTTTCTGAGGTTTAATTTGACATCCCATAACCTTTCTAAAAACCTGAACTATCTCATATTTATCCATTGCTTCCCTGAAAAAAGATGAATTTTTTTACCTGTGTTGTTTCATGTCTCAAAATTTCCTGGCTGATACATGCTAGTGTATACAAACTCTAGGAAATTCCCAGCATCTTATAAATATAAGAATGGTTAGTCTCCCAGGGAGTGATAAAATAGGCGATCCGTACAGACTATTTTATAGTGTCTCTGAGAAGACACTGCACAACCAAAGGAGATTTCAGATCCATTCATTCATCCAACATCAAACATTTACTGGGCACCTACTTTGTTCCAGTCTCTGTGCTCAGCAGTGCAGTGCAGAGCAGACAGAGATGGAAAGACACATTTCCTTCCTATCAAGAGTTGGGTGGGCCAGCCAGTGGCGCATTGGTTAAGAGTTGGCTTGGGAGGCCAGCCCTGAGCAGCAGGGCCCCGGTTAGGATCCCACATGACGGCCAGTGACGCTGCGCCCTCTACAGCTAAGATGATGAACAACAGCTTGACCTGGAGCTGGGAGGCCGTGAGTCGCCGGTGACGCGGCTGCAGTGGGGCTGGCCGGCAGCTGGTGTGAGCTTTCGTGAGCCACCGTCCAATGGCCAGCAAGCAACTGCCTCACCCAGGAAGAGCATGGTGGTGATGCCAACATGGGCCAGTGAAGTGACGCCTTCCACTTGTAGACTGAAGAACAAAAGGACAGCAACTCATTTGTTCCTCTCCCCCAATTCCCCAATAAAATCTTTAAAAAAAACACAAAAAACGAGTTGGGAGACAGATTTGCAAATAGTCAATTGCAATTAAAGTTGATTACTTCAATGAAGTTTTATGTATAAAGTCAATGTTGAAAAACAGTTCTACTTCGTGGTGAGATCAAGATAGTGTAGCGAGAAGGAGAGTCTGTGAAGAGTTTTCTTAGGGATAAATTTGTTTGTGCTGTTGAGTTCCCACTCCCCTTACACCCAGAGGGAAAAGCAGTACATGGGCTGTACGTTTTCCTCAAGCCTAAAAGGGGGCTTCTGTGGGACTAGAGAGCTTGGAAATTGTTCCCGATACTTGTAAAACACAGAGAATCGCACCAACTCTTGCCTATAAACTAAAGAAGGCGGTACCACAAAGCAGAAGTGGCTGCACTGGGATCTACCAGTACTCCCAGATGTGGTAGGGATGATGACTGTGTAAATGTTCCCCTGGACCAGATGTGGGCCTGATATGAGACAGTCAGCACGGGGTTGCCATTCATCTATTCACAAAGGCTGTCTAGAGGTGTAGAGGGACCAGAAGTTAGAGATTAACACAGGGATCCTAGAACCCACAGAGGTTGTCACAGGCAACCATCTGTGTCAGTCTAGGACAAAGGGACTCAACTGAGAGGTCTCTGATGATGGCAATCTTCCGAGAACCTTTAATAGCACTCTGCAAGAAAAAGAGTCAACTCTAACTGTCTGCCAGACACAGGAAGTACAGACCCAGCCTATCAGAACAGAACTGCCCTATCCCCTTAGCTGTCCTCCCTCCTCCCTATCACTTTCACACAGCAGATCAAATAGCAGTTAGCTAGTCGGGGTGGAGGCAAGTTGAACAGAAAGCTGGACACAGGCAGCCACCAGCCACAGGAGGCCTTACTCAGGGGAGAGGGAGAAGGAGAAGTCTTAGGCTAGTAACTTGGAATGAAGACTGAAGTATTTATTCACCATCTTGGACCGGCAACATTCTAATTACTAAATCAGGACTATCTTTTTTTACTTTAAGCGACCGTCAATTATGGAAGAGTGAAACAAAAAAGTCAGGGGACCTGCTCTTTTTTTCATTCCAGGGCAGGGGGAGATTATCCCTTCCCAATGACTATTTTTAAAAGATGGTAAAAGCCAAAAATTAAAGTTGTATTTTGATGACAACCCACAAATCTTGCATTCAACATCCTAACTCTGTATATATTTTAGTTTATTTCTGCTCTTCATGTTTTGATTACGAGTGACTCCCTAAGGTTTTTTTTTTTGATGTGTTGTACCTCTCAGAAGACTTTTAAGTCATTATTTTTTCTTCTCCCTCCTGCTAATTCCACTTCTGTTTTCAAGAAGTGTTCATTAGTTAGGGTTGATTGACAGTGCAACTAGTGTTCCTATCTTCAGACCTTGGCATAAACTTGAACTAGAAATTTGATAATAATGTTTCGCTTGTAATTATTGCTGCTATCACTGTTCAACTTGTGTCAGTATCCAGTCTCCGTGGGTACATGCCATCGAGCTGTCCCAGGTTACAGATCTGGGTGTCTTGCTCTTTGAACATTGCAACTACCTATTGCCCACAGGCCTTTTTGGAGTGAAAAA